AAAATTTGAGAAGTCTATGTGAAATTGTATCTGAACTAGAAAATTTATCATTTTTGCTTATACTTTTTTGGCAAAAATTTCAAATAATTCGCGATTTTACTGGTTATGCTTTTTAGTGTTGACAAAATATTCTTTAAAATCTTGAGATATGGAAGTTTTCTTTTTTTTTGCCAGTTTCTTTTTTCCTTCTATACTTGGCAAATGAAAGAGATTTTCCCCCTTTTCCTCATAATCTACGAAATTTCTACCAACTTTTTTGTCGTCCTCACAGCTTGATTCGTTACACCTTCCTCTTGCCTTCTTTCCTTCGCCTTCCTTCCTCTTTCTTGTTGTTTTTAGTTTTTTTTTCACTTTTTAAATTTCTTCTTTATCCACTTCCACATCTTATAAAATCCATTTACTGCTAATAGTTATTTTAGCTTTTTTGAATTTGGTATATTCCTCTAAGACTCTATTTTTGAAGTCGACCATCGTCATCATCGCATTCATCTCTGAGCAATCATCGAATAGCAATAATTAACAATGAGTACCATTCTACCATAAAAGCGGTTTCAAGGTGTTTAGCTTAATGTAAGTATAAATGCCAAAACTATTTCCTCTGAAGTTATTTTACCAATGAGAAAATTTTAATTCATTTTTAACACAAATTCATTAAAACTATAATTTTTATACAATCATACTAATTAGGCACAATAACCGCAAGTTTTCGCGCACTGTTGCATCATTGTCGTTCGAAATACACCACCACAGCTATTTGCGGCTCGAACTGCAGCACAGTTCAGTCTTTCGTCTCTACAAACTGACGTTAAAGGCGATATACTCGTCGCTGAAATCCATGAAAATTTTAATTTTTCATTTCCAGTGGAATTTCCAATTTTGCATTTCTATTTTTAGAATGTTTTTAAAACAATTCCTTTTCAGAATCAGAAATTACTTGTTAGGCAGTCGCGCGACCCGCAAGTTCTCTGGCACATATTTTTCAATCTGTTGTCAAAACAAATGCCCAATCCCATAAGAACGTCGCAGCCGTCGATGGTATCGGGACACATATTTGCAGCGCCAGGTAAATGACAAAGGCCGCAAGTCTGTGGGCAAAGTCGTAATGCAAGACTTGGGAATTGAGAACACATTGCCCTTGAAAAATTTCTGCATGCACCATCCCGACCTCCAACTGAAATTAATATCCTTAATCTTCATCCATATATTTTGCATTTAAATGAATTTTCAAGTAAATTCTCTTGCCCTTTTTATTTTTTCAACGCAACATTTTGATTTTTATTGTATTTTTTACATTCTATGCCGGTAATTATAATATTTTAGTTCTTACCATTTTGGCAGTTGTATTCTTTGGTTAAGCAACATGTCGCACATGTATGTGGACACATTTGTCGAACTAACATTTTATAAGCATCTTTCTGACAATTTTCTGGAACTTTATAGCCGTTGGTGCTGCAAGACATTGATACTTTGTTGATTTTTTTTTGAAGCTTGAATAATATGAAATTATTTAAACAAATTAATGATAATAATAATAAAAATGCAGTGGGCGTTCCAAAACTACAATGGTTTTTTATTTTGTATTTATTGGAATTTCTTCCATGGATTAAATGAATGTTAGTAAAATGGTTCATTTGACGACTTAAAAGTGGAAAGTAATTTATTATTTTTATATAAAAATTTAAATTTCTAAAAAAAATTTTAAAAATTTTCAAAAAAATTTTAAAAAAAATCATTGTGAAAATAGTTATCGAATTTCGAAAGCACTGAATTGTTGAATTTTTTACAAAATTTTTTTGATTGCCGATGTAAAAAAAAAAACTATTTTTGAAAATATTGTAAATATTTATCGTTAAAATTTAATATGACTTCTTTATTGATATTACTACTGATAGTATCGATTCAAATCAGATACAAATCAGATATGAGATTTATCGTCGTAGTGGTATATTTTTAACGAAAGGAAAGTGAAATTCAAAAGCTCTTACGGCACTCGGTTATCCGCGATTATCTGCATCTCATTATTGGCGTACTTGAATATTTCGAAGCAAGCTGGTGCATCACGATCATAGCAGTTCTCAACAGGTACTGAAGGTCTTCGCACAAATTGTGCACCTGCAGCCTGGTTTCCGCCTGCAACTACGGGCACAAGAACAGAGCAAACATCTATATCCGCAGCACCCGCATTAGCGAGATTGTATAAGGATGCGAGGACAAGCAAAAAAGTGAACATGTTATTCAGTCAAATGTTTTGTTCTCGATCTATAATTTCAGCATTATATTGCCAATTTTTATTTGTTTTTCATAAACACAATAAAGCAAAAAATTATCACTCTCTTACCTAAAATCTTCAGTTGCTTAAACATGGTTTTTGAAAATTTCATGACGTAAATTTAGTTATGTAAATTTGATTCAATTTATATTTCACGTCATCAATTATCCTTTAAGCGAATATTTTATTTTTTAAGCGGTAATATGAAAATTTGCATCTTTATTCGATTGTTTAAGAAATATTTGTACTCGTAAAAATTTGGTAATTCTGATAAGACATTCAAAATTTTTTATCAAAATTTTTGATGAAAAGATGGAAAATGTGATAAGTGATATCTATGAAAATCGATTTCAACAACATAAACAATGCTACTACAAGGCTAAATTATTTATTTCAACATCCTTTAGTAATACAGTCACCGAAGGATCACGATGCAAATAGCTTCCGGCAATATTAAATTTCTCCTTAAACGACTCTCTAAGCGAGCAAAGAGGAAGAGAATTGATGCTTGCAACTTGGCACCATTTCATTCTTATCTTCAATAATTTTTACAGAGTATTATATATAGTTTCAGTAATTAAGAATGAAACATCAGCATTTTGCTCATCTATGTCAGAAATTTTACATTTTACGAGTCGAGCGGATAAAATCGCATTTTATTATATCCATCTCCTCCGAAATACCACCTGCATTAATAATATTATCGCAGAGCTTTCGCTGGCTAGAGCATATTGTTCACCTGTTCCATGGAATTAACGCATATTTCGCTACTTGCCGAATCTTGTGATGGTTGGAATCAAAAACGAGGAGGGACAATCAAGATCTAGACTGATACAGTTAGGAAACCTATTTATAGAACCTATAGAGGGGCCAGCGATATATGGGTTTAGACGATAAAAAAATGAACGTCCCCTAATTATTACTAGCGATGGCGTCGAACCGAGCAGCTTGGAGATGTCTTGCCCTTGTAGCCAGCTTCCCGTAATGTTTAGAAGAAAAATTACGAATAAGACGAATGATATAAGACATCTACGTAATTATTTAATTTAATGCAACAAAAAATACAAATTCTGATTTATATTAGCCTTTTTTATAAGTACCATTGTAAATCATTTGCATTGTTATGAATAAATGCACTAATTGAATATATTAGGTATCAACAAAAAAGTGCAACAGTGAAGAAGAAAATTGAGAATCATTTTTCCATGGAACAGAATATTTTTCCTTGAAGCTTCCGGAAATATTTTTGCCGGAATCGAGCAATGAAAATATGCTTATTTATATAATATGGGCTTGACTGGTTTAATTAAAGTACAACCGTGTTGAATTATGATTATAAACCTTTTCTTGACCATTTTCAAATGTTTTAAAGAAAGAATAATAGGGAAAGAAGCATTTCTAATTAATTTTTGAAATATAAGTGAAGTATTGGGATATTCTCCAACTCTCTGTTATTCTATTTCGTTCTCGTGGCAGAAATCTTTTAAAATGGAATTTGCATTTCTATCCTCTTATGACTTGAAGGAAGAAGAGGAAATTATTACTTAAAAAACTGTAAAGAACCTGGTGTCCAAAGAATTAAGCTGTTGTTGAAAAATTAGGTGCTTCTTTAGTTATTTTATTCAATATGCTCACAGATTCCATTGTTTTTTAGCTTCCATCTATACGGTTTATTAGGATTTCAGCCCGTTGGTTTCTTATTTTTCATTGAAATCGGTGTTATAAATATATCGCCAACCCCCTTCTTATTTGACTCTCTCTTATTTGGAGAACTTTACAGGTAAATTTTAAAGACCTTACAATTTACTCGATTCATTTTCTGAAGCGAATGTAAAGCGAGTGTTTTATTAAGCCTTCTGGCGAAAATATTATTAATATTCTAAATATTAATATTTTCGAGAATTACTGTTTAAAAAAGGAAAATTTGAATAATGGAAAAATATTATCGTAATAATAATATTAATTACGATATAACGATCGATCTTAATTGAATTTGCGTCAAAAATTTTTTCACTACCATATTTGAGCACCTGGCGGTTTCAAATGGAGGTGTGACAATGTTTTATTATTGTTTCGATCAGTTCAAATGTGGAAAATAAATAAAGATTGATTTCACAACTATAAAAAGTCAATTTATAGATGGTAAATTATTTGAATAATGGGTGTTTTTCATTTCTTGCTAATCCTTCCGTCCTTATGTCATATTGTTAATGGAGGTGATGAAAAAATAAACGTTTTGTTTTATCTCTGCACCTGGGCAAAATAATAATGTTGTAGTAAGACCTTCGGTGCCTGTCGAGTACTGCCAAGATCGTGATGCAGCAGCTTGCTTCGGACTATTTAAGCCAGAGGATAACAATGTGCTGGCACAAAATCTTATGGCGTGAGTTCCCGGTTATTTTAATTTTATTTCTTTTTTATTTTTGAGATGAATATGATAATATATGATATTTTAAATCGTGAGAATAGACAATGGCTGTCGAGAAATTGCTGGGTTTTAAGGACCATCAACGTTAAAACCTTTTTAGATGGTTTTTTTTAAATGCGACTGGAAAAACTTTTGCTCATTTTAATGTTTTATCATATTTTTCTGACTTATTCCATGAGAACATCGTTCTCTCGTATTAAACGAGCCAAATCTCTTAATTTCATCAAAAACATGCAACTTTTCGTTTAATTATAAAAATAAATATGCAGCGTATTGTTAATTTATAGCAGATCAACTGCTAAACAATTGCATAAAAAGTAGCTGATAACCAAAAGAAAATGAAAAGAATTTGATAACATCCTTGTTTTGTTGCAGTAACATGGATTACAAAGTCCTAGACAAATGTCAGCAGGAGCCATATAAAATATTAGCTCGACAAATGTGTCCATGGATGTGTGCGACGTGCTGCTTGACTAAGGAATATAACTGTGAAAATGGTAAAATGTTTTAATAATATTTAAAAATACTTAAAATTATTTAAGTTTCCATCGATGCAAATCATATAGCATTTTAATAAAATTATTAAAATCTTTTTCTTTCAACTATCTCATTACTTCCTTTCATTCCAAAAATAGCGATTTGAAAAATAATTTGCTAGCAATAATTTTGCACTCATATTTTGTTAGACTGGAAAGTTAGTAGAACATTTGCTTCACTATGGAAATTCTCTTTAAAAACTCATCATCGAATCCAATTTTCATAAGAATATTGCTCAAAGTGAACAATAAAATATTCGATTTGCTCAAATCATCCACTTCTTTATAATTCCATGTTATGAAATTAATAAGAATTATACACCATCTGAAAAAATGCTGATTGCAAAAATGCTAACGAACGAGAAAGTAGGAATGATTTATAGCAAATCATTAGCCATTATTCTCAATTTCAGTTGGAGGTCGAGAAGGTCCATGCAAAAATTTTTCAAGACCAATGTGTAGTCAATTTCCAAGCATTGCATTACAACTTTGCCCGCAAACTTGTGGCCTTTGTCATTTACCTGGTGCTGCAAACATGTGTCCCGATACCATCGACGGTTGTGATGTTTTGGTGCGATTGGGCATTTGTACTGACAACAAATTGAAAAATATGTGCCAGAGAACGTGCGGATCGCGCGACTGCCTAACAAGTATTTTCTCATAAATTTTTTAAAAAATACTCAAAAAAAAGAGACTTGCAAAATTGGAAATTTTGTCCAGAGTGGAAATTTTGATTTCATAAATTTCAGCAACAACTTTGTCTCCTCCAACAGCAACTTGTCGAGACGAAAGACTGAACTGTGCCGCAATTAAAGCTGCACATAGCTGTGACGGTGTGTTTCGAACAACAATGATGCAACAGTGCGCAAGAACTTGCGGTTATTGTATATAATCTTATACAATTATATCAAAGATAATATGAATATCAAAGATGATAACATGATAATAAGATAATATGAAGTTCACTTCAAATTATTCTTCATTATGATAAAAAATTCTTTGAACAAATTGCTATAACAGAATTATGATATTAATATTTGCATTAAAATTAAGCCATATTGTATTCGAATCTTTATCAGTGTTTTTCTTGAAATCCAAAAATAATAAAAGAAAAGAAGGAATGTCAGATGTTTTTATGATATTCTTATAATATATGTTTCTGAAAATCGGCTTCTGCTTTGAGCAAATATTCGCGTACTTCTGGTACTTTTGCTATTACTACTCCGTTTGGAAGATATCGGTCATTCCTCTCCCAGAATAAATACAATATTTGAATGAATAGGTTGATCCATACAAACTAGAGAATTTATCTTTTTTTCTTCGCTTATTTGCATTTTTCCAAAAGCAATTTTTGAATCGCAGTTTTTTTAGAATAATGTTTGCTTTTTTTGGATAAATGTTTAATTAGATCATTATTACTAAAAATAATTATTATTACTATTATTAAAAAATTTTTTTATTATCTCCGCCATTTCACTCTTTATGCCTTTTTCTTTGCTTTCCTTCTCTTTGAGGTTTTTATTTTCCTTTTAGACTTCATTCCCTCGTTTTTTTTTCGTCCTTTGCTTTCTGCTATTTTCTTTTCCTAGTTTCTTTTTTCGTTTTTTAATTTCTTCCATTTCCTTTTTCACCCCTCTCCCACGTTATCCGATTCATTCACCGTTAATATAATTCCATTGTTATCTTCTAAAACCGCTCCTCTTCCTTTAGTATTTCCAAGTACTTTCGTAAACTGAGACGTTCGCCATCTTCGCATTGGATCTGAGCGACAGTAGAAGAACAGCGATGAATCTGCCTTTCCTTGAACGCCATTTTTCGGCTCTATAAATATTAGAAAACGGAAAAAATATTTTGGTTTGTTATCGGAATGGGTACAATTTAAACCTGTTAACGAGGACCTATGAGAGGGCAAGCCTGGTGCCAGCAGCCGCGGTAACTCCAGCTCTCAAAGTGTATATCGTTATTGCTGCGTTAAAAAGCTCGTAGTTGGAATCCAG